TGACGATGACATGTCCGTCGCGGGAGATCCAAGGTGGAGTTTGACCTGGCTGAACTGAGCCTGTAATCGAAGGTGTTATCTGTGCTATATCCATTGGTGCTTAACTGAGTGTCAGCATGGTCGTGGGACGTAGCTGCGGTCTCGTTGACTGACTGGATCTTCGAGTGGACTTTCAGATTAGATGACTGAATGGTTGTGTAGGAACAGAAGCCGCAGCGATGGGACCTGTTTGTAGAACGGCAGTTAGAAGATGTCGCGAAGTGAAAGAGTAACGTACATAGCCCTCCTTTCATGGTCACTTAGGTGTGTAAGCTTGTGCCTCTTCAGGTCAGAGGTTCTGACTGCAGAAAAACTACACTTGTCGCATTGCCTAGGCTATTAGCACTTCGACGGTAAGACATTCTCAGACAAGGAAAAAGAGAAGACTGCACATGCCACTGCATGATCGTAACGATGTTTCCTTGACTTAGGTTTGCACTTGATCGGTTTCGAAGCGGTTCGGGGTTTTGGCTGCTGGACCAATGTCATGAGAAGAAGAGTCAAGTACGACCCGGGACCGGACCTCGGGGGAAATAACATAAAAATCAACATTCACACGCCTGGCCAACTTCATTAGTAATTCGGCGAAAAGTTCAGTTCAGAACGGATATCTCAGGCCCTCGTCAACCAGGTTTTCAAGCTTGTGCGAAAGCTCTCGGAGGATGCAGCTAGCTATTGGCAGATGGATATCAACGTTGCTTCATCGCGAGATAGTAACCCGTTGACCGATGCAGGTGTATAGGTTGCCACCGTTTGTTGAGTCGGAGTCGCAACGTCCCTTTCCCGATAATTCTGGTCAGAAAAAAGAAAACGGCAAAGAGATCCTCCGAGCTCCTCAGGCAGGGTCTTATTCGTGAGTTAGTGATCTCACGCATATAAATCGCGATTCGTACTGGGCCTGACTTCGAAGTTTTTTGGAAGAAACCAATTTGGCAAACCGCGATACTCAATATTCACAGGTTTGTAATTTCACGTAGAATCTGGACCACAACCCAGGAAAAATCAGCCGCGTGAGCATTTACGCCGGGTGACTGAGGGAAGTAGCCATATAGAGCATCCCGTACTACCCCCAGTTTCGAGAACCCATCTGAACCACCACTTTTCACTGCACGAAATACGAATCCTCGTAGGATCTTCAACCTGGTAAGACCATAATTGTGTCTTTCACCTGCTATTTATAACTCAACAACAGCATCAGACTATCTATGGCAATTTCAAGTGGAACAGATGAACGCCGTACAGAGACGTGCGACGCTTGTCTGGCGCAGTTTATTCAGAGACTCCATCGTCCCCTTCCCCCATCTTCGTTTCGTGGACCACCCAAATACGAAAGTCTAGACAGTATCGATAGGACACGGCTGGCAGACGACCGTGCCACAGTGCACGCTTATGACGCCTGTCTGGAGAAAATCGACTCTATTAGGCACGAGCTAATGATTCATCGCGAAGAAGCTTTGTGTCTCGTTCGCCGCCGTGAACATTACTTGTCCTCGTTCAGAAAAATCCCGAACGAGTTGTGGATCGAAATTTTCTCGCTCGTTTGCTCCAAGTCCTCCAATGCGAACGCATATGGAGACGAGAAATGGTGGCCATCCACGACTTTCCCCATCGAAATCGGGTATCGAAAGACCCTGTCGCCCTATGTCCTCTCTCAAGTATGTCATCGTTGGAGAGACATTGCCGTCCACTACGAAGGACTTTGGGTCAACATCAGCATCGATGTTGCCTTTAGTGTCAGCGCCAGTGGTGGCCAGCGCCATCTTATGGCGTTAGATGCTTTGAAACTGGCACTCGAACGATCCGGGAAGAGTGCATTGACAATACGACTACAAAGTCATCCAATGGTGGAAGAGGAATATTACCGCGATGTGCCCCCTTCGGTGTGGGCTCCTTTTCGCGAGGCCTTCTCCCGAACGGAATCCCTGGAAGCAGCGGCGGATCTCTTTCGTCAAATCGATTTTGGCGGCTGCCTATCCTTCCCCCGCCTTCGCCAGGTTTGGCTTGATAGTCATAGTCCTCTTTTGCCACTACCTCGACCTTCTGCTCGCGAGCAGCTACATGCCCTCTTCGCCGCACCGCGCCTCCAGTATCTCTCTCTGGAAAGGATGAAGTGGATCATGGCCATGGCGCCCTTTCCTTTTCGTGATCTTACGAGTTTCACCTGCCAGGAGGCTATGACGAGATCAGAGCTTGCTCATTTGGCCCGGTGTTGCCCGCGGCTGTTAGACTTGGCCATCAGAAGCGATTCATCTGTGGACGTTAGTGGTAGTTCGGGTGCACTGCAATTTCCCAAACTTCAATCACTGACCTTAAATCCCGGGTGGAGCCCGATGTCTTTTCTTGGCCATTTGAACACTCCCTCCCTCACCAGTCTGGCGTACAAATCCTCTCCGTGCACTCCTGATCGCCTCGAGGTATTATCCAGGTTCTTGAGCCGCAGTCAATGCCCGCTCCGAGCTTTAGGTCTCACTATCGATGAGGATTGTTTCACTGGGGTCCCTCGGGATGCCTGGTCATCCTTCATCACGAATATACCCTCCCTTGTCAATCTAGACGTTACTCTCCACATGACGAGCGTCGAGATATCAAGAAGCGCCATTCACCAGTTACTTTCCGTGCTACGGCTGAAGGAATACGACGACGGCCATGAACGAGGGTGCTTTCCATACCTGACTATATTCTCGCTTGTTATCGAACAGAGAGGGTATTGGTGCATGGACGGTCCTGATATTCATTGGCTGTTGGACCACTTCCTGGACGTCGCGGCGACGAGAAGGCCCAGAGCTCAGGATCTCCCATCTGATATGGCTCCCTTGCAGACGGCACGCTGCTCTGTACAATTCCAGTCGTGGGGTAATGACACTTCCGGGTATGGCTACTACAAGGAATTGGAGGAGAGTGAGAGCTTCGACGCGAAACGGGTTCGTTGTCGTGTTCTTGACTTGATTGCTTCGGGCTTGGAGGTCGAGATAGAGATAGGTAGCCACGGCATTTCAGCCCTGCACAGCGGCTGACAGGAAGCTACGTCATAATGAAATCTGTGATACGTTCTTATGTTCTTATGTTTATTACTTACAGTAAATATTGGAGGTGACTCACAATTGTCCATCGAATTCGAGCGTCCTACTTATGTGAGGTAGTCTAGGCCTAGTAAATGAATGTTCGTTTACGTGATTGACGCTGACTCTTCAAACTTCAAGCTTCAAGGCTCAGGCCCAGGTGTGGCCCAGGTGTGGCGCTCATATTTAAATGAGCGGGATATTTAAGGATAGGCCACACGACTTTCGATTCATTAAACCCACCCCAAGTTCCATTCAAAGGCGCTTGCGTCCCGTATCCAATGATGGTGGGTTCTCGTTGTGTCGTCTTCCTCTATACTAAGAGACTCATCGATAGCCAAAATCACTGTACACCGACATTCCCAACGAAGTATGGGCCGAAATCCTTCGTTTTAGTGACCCGTATACTCTATCCGTTGTCCAACGCACTTGCCGTGCTCTATACCTGATCTCTTCCCGAGTGCTTTATCGCGACTTAGCTTACCCAACGACGAATTTGGCATTGGAGAATGCAGCATTCTGGGGAAGACTTGAAACAACGGAAGATGGACGGCCTATCCAGATGCCAAATTTCCCTCAGTTTGGCTACCCACGCCAGTTTACGATTGGCTTGCGTATTCGACTCGATCAATCAGGATATCGCCAGGTGTTCAACTGGGGCATGGTTTTGAGTCGTGCTCGCAAATTCTATAACCTCACCGTAGTCACCTTGCAACGGGTGCGCTTCCCTTGTTCGTTTCTACAACTTCTTATCACTCAGACGCAGGCCTTGCGCGACGTGACATTGATCGACGTCGCAATGTCTGATTTCGATGCTCTCTTTCAACGCCCTGTGTCTTACCAACCTTCATCTTGTGGCAGGAAGTTGCAGAACATCACAGTTTGTGGTGTTATCAATCCTCTGGGCTCTGCGGACGATGATGCAGTTCGTATGTTGTCGCTGGTATTGAGACTACCAGCGATGAAAGCATTGGGATTTGATGCCGAAGCCTCATCAGCAATTATTTCCGCCGCTCGTCATTGCCATTATACGAAACCAGCAATCGAGCATTTGACCGTGTATGACTACTCCATGCGTAGGCCGGAAATACGTTGGCATCGGACGTTGGCAGATGTACTCCGTTTACTCGCTGGATCTCTTACACGGTTACTCGTTAGGTCTCTTGCCGATTTCTCAACCGTTGCTGCACTTAGCCTTCCCCGACTGGAGATTTTTGAGGGTCCCCTTTCCCTGCTGTGTTGCTTTGTCGACCACACCATAAAGCGACTCAGGAACATCATTGTCACAGAAACGTTGTGCGAGATGGATCATCTTGTCCGAGTCGCAGAGAGGAGTAAAGGGATGACTTCAGTCAAAGTCCTTCGCTTGAACGTAGTTCACCTTGAGGCGGAAGTCTTCCTACGCCTCCTTCGATCAGTTCCCGAGATGGAGATTCTTCACTTGGAAAGTGAATACGAGGACATCGCCCAGGTCTGTCAATGAACCTCTATTCTTCACATCACGAGAGTCACGTCTTGTTAATAATTGCTTTGCCAGCACGGGACGATGCATAATGTTGTTACATTCCTTCCAAAGTTGAAGGAGCTTCATCTTTTTGGGTTCCGCGCCGCGCCGTCTAGTTCACTGCTCGACCAAGAGATACGTTCGTTGTTGATCAAATGGAAAGCCGATTATTGCGTTGGGTTAATGTATGCTCGATTTAATAACACTCAGTCATGGCGATGGGAGGAGTTGAAGAAGAGTTGGTCAAGCGTAAAAGAGGGGGCCATCACAATTGAGGAGTTGCTGAGCTGACGTAGTAATACCCCTGCAGTAAGAAGCTGAATGCTGCTACCGTAGACTGTAGACAAATCGACACTAAACCTTTCTTATGATTCGCCGAGAACCTCGTAAAAATGCCCTGTGACTGCCAGGGTTCGAACCAGGTCCTGCGTGATGACATCGCCTTTTTGTTGATGCAACTATGCACGCCGTGCTGCCATTACACTACAGCCACTATTCTATTCAAGTTCTGGTTCTCGAGTATTCTGAGCTACTTCGGTGCTGTGACTCTGCTGAACTGTTCAGGACCTCGACAAGTCTTCGACGACTTCATCCCGCGAAGATCACGGATGGTCCGGTGGCCTTGACCAGCGATGCTGAAATGAATCGGGAAAGGCATTTGCATAGGATGTATTTACTGAGCATTCGATACCTGCTGCCTGAGGCCATTCCCTATCTTCGTTTGTTGTTGTGATACAATTTTCAAGGTCTCCTATCTACAGCTCCGTGATCAGTTCAACCCATCGGCGGTCTGAGACGCTGACGACACGCTTCCACACCACGCTAAAATCGTCTTCCACGTGCATGAATCGAACAGTCTTCATTGACGAGGGTAAAGCTGCCCGCCACGCATCGAATATGCCATGAGCCTGCCCAACACCAACTTGACGCCAGAACGAAATCTGAACGCGAATCAGTGAAGAAAACCCAATGGAGATGGAAGTGAGAGAATTGGGGGTGAGCAGCGCCGTCTAGATTATGAACGAAGAGAATTAAGCAAGAGATGTGGAAAGAGCGTTCCACGACATACCACATTTCCCTTGAGCAACGTTACTTGAAGGTCGTGGAGGTCTGGGCAGCGTGAAAGGACGAACGGAAGCTCGAGATCTTCGTCGAGAGTCAAAATTAAGCAACGCAGACCAATAAAATTCCTGCAATTGATAACGGAGAATCCGTCCCTGCCAGTGAAGGTAAGGCGATGCCATGTCTTGTTATCAGAGTGCAAGTGGTGGAACTGCTGTGCACTTCCTGCAAACTCCACTAGGTTGTCGAACGGCTTCCATGCCAATCCAGCATCTACTTCGTCCGCTACTTCGGTGAAAGACCTGATGTGTAAGGAACGCAGCGTTGTAGAGCATTCCTTTAGGTACTCTCCCAGTTGTCTCAAACCTACGCGTTTGCCCCGTGCTGGTGGTGGTGTGTTCCCGGAGTCCGGTAAGAGCTGGAAAGTATCCAACGAAATGGCCCCAAATACGGCGGCTGGCACGGCATCTTTATCGCAATGCCAATCCAAAGAACGCAAACCTCCAAGGCGAGATCGGGAAGCCCAACATTTATAAAAGGGAATCCAGGTTGTGTCATCAATTTCCAGTACACGAATGGATGGACACTCCGCGAACAACATCAGTAGCTCCCATTCAGCTACAGAAAGAGATGAAGATCGCATTCCCAGCAACGAAAGGGACCGAAGGCTTTCCGGAAGCAATGGATCAAAAACGAGATGGGGACAGAGATGGCGCGGGGCGGGTGTTGATAGGAAAGTGGAATCGAGTGTCAAGGAGGTAAGGTACGGAAGGCGGCGGCTGAGTAACGGAAGTAACTCTCTCAACTTCAAGCCAGGCATCACTTGAAAGGTCAACGATGCTACGTGGGTGAAAGTATCAAGTAGCTGGAATATGGAGTCGACGACGGTACCAAGGGGCACTTCGGTGGTGGATGTCGTTCTGTCTTTGTGAAAAGAATGTTTGGGTGTATGTTGACCGAACGTCACTGTGCGGGGGGTTGCTAGCATTCTATTTCGGCCCACAGCAAGGACCTTCCATTTGTGCTTAGCCGACAGGTCCACGTCGTTCGGTTGAAAGGCTCCTACGTAGTCCCAGAACTCAGACAAAGATCGTAGGGCACGCTCGTCTGGGACAAGGATGTTCCGATATGCCCATATGAACGCCGACGAGTACCATTTTTTCGATACCAGGACAGCGGAGTGTAGAGATTTTGGCCCCATGAAAGACATGATCCTGTCCATCGTCTCCGCTGGGATCTTGTCTACGATCTGGAAGAATATGGTAAGTGTTTAGTTCCTGCGGTACATGAGGAACTCTTGCCGGTGACTGCAACATTGGTACGTGCGTGATGTGATACTATTGCTTGAGACTGACTATTTATGTTAGAGACCAGTCGATATGCTTGACGGACGATTTCGTCCTTACCTTTCTCTCCCTCCCTCCCTTTTTTTCCCAGAACAGTTATTGCCAGTCAAGAAGTCACGAAAGTCAGACGAGATGTACAGTAGCTGCAAAGACGCAAGACTCCGTACCCAATAGGCTCCATCCGAATCATCGGCGGAAAGTTCGACAGCTCACAGAAGGTTGACATGCAATCGTACAATCGAACCCCGAGATCTCATGGAGAAGCTAGATCCGATTGGTTCTGACCAGAAAGCCAGAGTATTCTGACGGGATTCTATTATTCCAGGAATGTTCAGATTCCCGATTATCATCGTCTCTTCCAGATATCTATCACATGAATCGTCAGTGACAACTTCCATATATTGTAAATGCAAGCAACTTCCGTGAGGTCACCGATATTCCGGTCTTTTTTATTCGCAGTTCTGCCCTGACAAATCCATCAGTCCCACGGCAGGTCTGGTCCTGATTCCTTGTACGTCCTGGCGTTTAACTAGAGACCTTCGTCCTTGGATAACGTCATCGAGGGTTACAGACCGGTGGTGATCGGTCCAGGGCTCAGGCAGTCCAGGTAGAGAGGGTCCGAGCAAAAGAATTGGATGATTCGAGTCTGTGGGCATCAGGAGTGACTCTCCCGGGAACGTGAGTCAGATATCAAATTGGGCGGGGAAGTTTGTGATGGCATGTTCAGGGAGACAGCATCGCGCGAACCTGGTTTCCGACGTCGAGCCCAGACACTTGTCCGACAGAAAGAAACCATCAAGTAGAGGGTCTGTATGACGCGTATATCCGGCCATCCAATCGAACTTTCGGCTTACTCAGGAGTATAAAATCATATTCACAAGGAATTGCACTCACCAGTCTTTTCTGCGACACTCCTGAACTACAGTCGAAGAAGCGTCTTGATAATGAGGTTGCGCAAGAGTCGTTACGCCAGCGCAACAGGAGATACCAGTGGAGGAGAGACCTCCGAACACGAGGATTGGGATTGTAGCCCATATCTCAACCCCATGGGACAGAAGCTTGACAAGAACGGGTACCTCTGTGATGATTTTGTGGTCAGTGACGACGAAGTTGAGTGGGAGGACGATGAGTCGAGTACCAGTGATGGAGAGGATACGGAGTCACGATCGAATGACGAAGATGGCTACGGGCCCTCCGATGTATCTGCTCATGAAACAGATGCGCCACTAGGTTCGCCAAACTTCATGATAGTTCGACGCCTACGGGGCATGCCCATAGGTCACGCTTACTCAAGGTCATTTAGGTGGCCTAACGTCTCGTTCATCCCGATCTGTGACAAAGTCTAGGGGTCGACAACAGGGCGTAGACGTTTCTCAGGAATCGTCTTCTCGGTCCCCTTCTCCAGCGGCAGTACCCTGCCAATCCAATCGTTCGCGTCGCAAGGCGATTGATGTGTATTCCGACACAGAGTCCGAGACGAATGGTGATTCGTCTTTGGGTACTTCGGCAGGCGCTTCGATAGTCGTTCCTCCACGTCAGGAAGTGGCCGCTTCAGGGAGTACACCTTCGAAACGCGCACGTTGTTGCCATGGATCAGAACTGGACGATGGCTCGGACAAAGAGAATTCCCTCCCGAAGAGATTGCGTAAAATGTAGCGCAACGAAGGCACGATTGCCGGGCCACTCCTATATTCCTAACGGGAAACTGAACAAAGAATCTATGAACTATCACTGAGCTTGCTGACTTGGTTGTATTTGAACTGAAAAACGCGTACGAATGGCTTCAATCTTATGTGTAACTGTATATGGGGAATATCTCACCAAGCGGAATATAACTCAACCTTTCAGGGATCAGTAAGCATTAGCAACATCCTGGTGGGTGGCCTTTGACCACTCCAAGTTCATGAAGGGCTATATTCGCGAGATTCGTTGAGAGTAGCACTGCCAGCAATCTGTTAGAGTTCACATTTGAGGAAACGAGTAATTTGAGACGGGGTACTCACCTATACTCCTCATTCATGTTATCATGTCAAACGGTATATTCGAAGCCTGAAGCTTGAAGCTTGAAGGGCTCAGAGTCAGTGGGTTGGCAGTGTGGAGCTTTGAATTTGACCCTGACTCCTGAGACGGCGAGATAATAAGATAAAGTCACGCGTGGGCTGACCTGGTCGGACCGGCTACCTTCCGTTGTCCATTCCCGCTTTCAGTCGGCTCACTACATTGCTCCTTGATTTTCGACCCAGACCAGCTAACTTGCTCTTTTTGCTCCTGTGCCCAAGACCTTCAAAGATGGGCCTTCAAAACAGATGTTTGGTCGAAGGCAGTTGTAGTAAGCTGGGAATGAAGTGTGTAGCTTTTAATTTTGACCGAGCTTTCTGGCTGATGAGACCTCCACGTTCAACATCAAACTGGTTCATTTCAGATTCAGCCTCGGTGGTTCGAACTGTCATGATAGCGCGTCGAAATAGTCAAGCTAGTTCTCACACCGATCTCGAAGTCTTTTGCCCCCATAGTCTCCCTGTCTCAGATTCGATCCTCCCTGGCTCTAAGGAAGTCTTGTTTTTCGCTCAAAATTTCCACTTTAGGACTCACTACAATTTACAATACAGTCGCAATGACGGGCTGCTTCCCGCTCTCCAACTCCTTGCGGTCGTCAAGAGAGGAACAACATGGGTTGGGAATGGGCTTCATGGCACAACACGTACGCCACCTTCGAAGTTTTATTACGCCCATAGAGCTCAAACTAATCTTTGACATAGGCAAATCTACAGTCAACTTATTTTGTACGTTCTGGGGTTCGTTGCGATGGTGAGAATAGTCACGATAGACGATCCCCTCCGTCGCCGTTGGAACATTCGAGGTATCAAGGTACGTCGCTAATGTTCCACGACCGCGGGCTCAAGATAATTTCTGAGAAGGCCGGATTATGTGTGATTACGCGCTTTCTTTTGCTACCTATCATACCCCTGCGTAGTACAACTTGTGGATGACTGGTAGCTTATGCTGTACGGGCTTTCAGCCGTATCCCACATGTGCCCAAATTGGTCGTGCAGGTCTTTCTCTGTACGCCTACCCTCTGTGTCTT